ATCAAAACAACAGGCAGGGCTGCCACGCGTTCAGCGAGAGGAGCGGAGCGGGAGAGAGGCGGCGCGGCGGCGGGGGCGAAGGGATGCCGTATCCTGGCAGGGATGTGGGTCCCCGTGCCCCTCCCGTGGGGTTGGGTGAAGGTAGACCTGATGGAGATAGCACTCGCGGCCAGGTGGCTTCTTCAGTCCAACCTGTTTTGCTTCCCTGTGTCTTAAGGAGGGACTCTTAAGCATAATTTTTCCCTTGAAATTGTTTTTCCCTTTCAAAAGCTTTTTTGTTTTTTGGGTTTTTTTCCTTTTTGTTTTATTTTTCCCCTTTGGAAATCTGATCTCACGATACACCCATTAGCGTCAGGTCTCTCACTGAAGTGTCACGTATCGCCATCCCCCTTTTTGCGGGCTCCTAAGAGCATCCTTCTGGTAGTTGTGGTGGGATTCAGCCACTTAGATGCTGGCAGCTAATCACGTCGGAGAGTTACCCTGCAGTATCCGCGCTATGCTGCAACCACGCCAAGATGTGAGGAGCTTCTGGGACACTTCGTGCAGTGTCTCAGGTGCTCTAAGGCATATTAAATGGCATTAGATGCACTGTATTTTAGTAAATGTATTTACCTGATGTAGCTGAATATTTATTTATCTATTTATTTATTTATTTATCTTTTGTGCGTGTGTGTTTAGATTTCATATCTGCAAGCTTGCAAATCAAACTCACTCATTTTTCCTCTCAGAGGCGGGTCATGCTCCATCCCTGACTTTGTCTTCCACTACCGAAGGGTTGGGTGAGGGGCACGAGGAATTTGAGTGTGCATAGGGAATGTTGTCCCAGGACATCTTGACAAAAATCTTGTTATGGAAATATTTTGATCCATAACTATAGAACTTCCGATCTATAGGTTACGGTTGCTCCCATGGCTGGTGGCTTGTCTTTCAGCGCCATGCTGAAAAGCCCAGGTAAATCATCATTTTGTGTTTACTTAGCGTTGTCTTACTGGTTTTCCTGCACAATTTCCAAAGGAAGATTCCATCTGCAAAACTAAATGGTTCCTATCCTACCTTGCGTTAAGCCCCGGTACGGATTCGTTAAAATCTTTGATCACTGGCTACCTGTTAATACACAGAATACTAAGAAGCCCTCTACAATCACAGGGACCAGTACAGAATAATTTTTTTTTTTTATTTGTTATAAGCATACTATTTGTAATAATCTATGGACATTCTTGAATTTATAAATATCAAGGCTTCGCCAAATATTTTAACTATCCCTCTATGGCAAATTGTCTTTAAATACTGGCAGTTTTTTCTTTTTAACATTTACTTGTGGACCAGAAACACTTGCAGTCTATTGCCCCTGGCCTTCTGTGAGAATGTTAGTTAGCAATGCTCATAAAAACTCAATTCATCAATGTGAACATAATTTGCTATGAACAGAAAGCTCACAAAAGGGTGAATTTGTCAGATAGACAGGTGGCCTGAGATCTCTCCCTGATACTGAACGATATGAATAATAGATTCTGGTAAATGTATGCCAAGACTTGAGCTGTAAACACAGCTGCCTCCATTCCCTTCCAGAATAACAGCTTCGAGAACGAAAGCACAGGAACCACAGTTCCACCTGAGGACTAAGCCTGTGCACATACAGACACACACAAACACGCACACACAAACACACACACACACACACACACACACACAAATGCAATGTACTTGCAGGCTCACAAAGAAAACAAGCCCCAGAAAAAGGACATAGCCGTTTCCAGCTTCTTTCGCAGACCCTTGCTATGAACGGATTTTTAACATGTGTGGAGAGCAGAAGGAGAGAATAATAGAAAACATTTAAAATATATTTTAAAATATCTGCAGTCGCAGAAATAAATCTTTCTGTCATCCAAAGCAAAAAAAAAAATCCCAACCCTCTCAGCTGGCTTTTGTAGGTAAAGGATCCAGACATAAGACCAAAAAAATAAAGCGTCATACTGTCACAGTTGAACATGTATAAAATAAGATTATAGAGCTTTTTTTGCTGCGATACTACTTCCAAAAATTAGTTAACTGTAATGATCCTAGCAAGACCCGCACAATGGTGGTGGTTTTTGTTGCAGGCTATTGGTGTTTGTTTATACTGCATTGTTTTTACTGGGTTTTTTAGGCTTAAATCATTAATTACTCTCCACAGACTAGGTTAGAAAGATATTATATGTGCAAAAATGACCTTTAGGCTTTTCTAATGAACAGCGTTCTGCTGGATGGTTGCCCAACATAACTTTAGAGCAGGCTGAAGTCTGTTCCAGGCAATCCCAATGACCGACGGTACAAAAGGGTCGCTGTAATGTTTGGAGACCAGAGGGAAGGACCTAATCCCGGGTCAGGACTCTCTGGCAGCGTCATATAGGTGGGAGGAAAAGAACCGTGGGACAGTGACTTTACAGTGCTGAAAAAGACCAAACAAGTCTTAAAAAGGACTCAGTCGGGGCCAGCCACGTTCGTTCTGCGCGCGCATTAACAGCGTGGTACAAATGCTCCGACACAGTTGACTTTGAAGGGCAGACGTGTCATGTGTTGCAGAAGAGAATGGCTGGCTGAAGTGCTTGTTTTGGGCTATCAAAGGCCTTTATTTTTGCAGTTCTAGCCGAGGACTGTCAGCTCTATTCTTTGCATGGTCGGGTTTTAATATATTTTCCCCCTTATAGGTACAAAACAAAGGACTTTTCCCACACTAGCATGCCTTATTTTAGGGATAAGCCAGGCTCCTTATTTGATCCTTCCCTGGCAGCGATACAGCCCAGGAAATGAACTGGGAATTGTATCATCTGAAGTTCATACATGTTTGTTAATATTTGTTATTTAGGGAGGATGCTTCTCTGTAATGAGTTGGCTAAGGTGAGAGACATGTAGCACTGAACACAGAACCAACACGTCCTAAAGCTCCCAAAATGTGACCGCATATGAGATATTAAAGGCAAAATGGAAGTTCTGAACAAATGAAATCACTGTCAGAATAATAAAAGAGAAATGAGCTATGATCTAATCTGTTTTCTAGCAGTGTCACAGAGGAGCTATAATAAAAGCTATTTGCAAAGTTCAGAATCATTTCCCGTGCAAAGCCATTCACACACTATACGACTCTGGACAAATGGAGGGGGTCTTAGCTTTGCCAAAAAATTGTATGTGGATAGTTTACTATTAGTTTTAAGTTTGTGCACCTAAATTTCCCAGTTGGCTGCCATTTAAGCTCCCTCCCTCTTTGAGATGGCACAGGAACTTGTGCACCTGGCTTTCTCCCTCTGTTTTTGGTGTATTGTCTTCACCCCTTTCCGATTGCAAACTGCAAATGTAAAGGACAAACAGAAAAAGCATAAAGTCACATCACTGGAAGCTTATCTAACTTGCTTTTGTACCGTGCATGCTATAAATGAGAGCACAGCAAAAGATGTATTGTGTCCTCGTTGGAAATGCTCGTTCTGTTCTTCCTTGGAACAATGCATAAAGCGCAATCCCAGTTACCGTGTGCCTCTACTTCTGTGGCATCTCCTCTGCGAGCAGTGCACGAGGAAGAGAAATACAAAAGCGACACAGGGAAGGATGAAGTGAGTGTGTAAATGCCTGTTTCCTCTCTGAACTTCACAATGAATATATGACAAGTGATAAAAAAATGATGGAGGTATACCTAGAGTCGTGCCTGGGGATAGGGAAGGAGGTGCTCTATGTGCTCCTCCCTTTAAAGCAAGTAGCAACTTAAGGCTGTTCAAAATAATGATAGCTTTGCTGTGTTATTTTTTCCATTGTAAAAGGGATATGGGTTGGGCAGCTGGAAATGGGACTGAACCAAAGGGAACATGGAGCAGCGCAGTGCTGAGCTGACCTTGCTGTAGGCGGTGGAAAGAAGTATGAAAAGGTGGAAAACAACATCCTCCACTGATATCTGCGTAAGTGGAATGCCAGCAACTGAGATCTATTTAGAACGTTCTCATTTCCATTCAGTGCCTTTTGCTGTAAGTAGATTAAGGCATTCCAGAAGGAGAAAAAGAAAGAGAAAATACTATTTCTGCAACACGGCATCCACCAATTTCAAACTCGCGGACGTCTGCAGTGGAGATTTAAGAGCATGGTGGACCCCATGTATATCTATAAAGGTTCCCTGTCGATCAAAGGGACTGGCAACCCAGAGATCTCCTACTCATGTGGAAAGAAATGAACTAATTAGCATCAACAGGAAGAGGAGCAATGACAGCAAGCTGTGGGATCTCCCTGTCTCTCTAGAGCTTGACAGTATGGCTGGGAGGTTTCCCTCTAAATGTTTTGGTGTATTCTGATAAGTTATCTCCTGTCCAGGATGGCGTCTGTTAGAAATTCAGGTCATTCATCGTGAAGACCTGGTGACGAGAGGTAATAAATCACCTTCTGGTCTTCATGAGGCTGGACACTGTCCTCTACGAGAGGGACTTTTCTGGACCTGCCTGTGCTGCTTAGCAAAGAGCCCTGCAAAAACACACCTAGGATTCTTGTATGCAACTGTGATGCAAGTCTCAAAATGCAAAAGTGGGCAAATCACTTATTTGCACCCAAATCTCTTAGTTACCTTTGCACAAATCTCTCCTTAATTGTTCCGATTCCCATTGTACTCATCTTCCTTGCCTCACTTTCC